GGGGGGGGGGGTTGGTGCACATAGTCCAAAGGTGGTTCTTGTAATCAAAAACACTGTGCATGGAGTCAAAGGGATAGTGTGGTGAGTCCAGCTTCTGATTCTGCCTCTCCAGTCGACAATAACTGACGGCTTTTGAAACAAATCTGAGAGTAAGAAGATCAGATGATAAACACTTTACACCCTGTTCCAGATTTTGGTCAATAACTCCTCACCTACTATTCCAGTTCTATAGTGGAATATGTGCGTATCTCCGTATTGTTGTTGTCAGTTTCATCCTTTCTGTTATGATGAACTCTCTATTGCCGTTACACACTCAGATCCGTTTCCATCTATTGGGATTCCTATTGTTACTCGACTTCAGAGTCCCATTCATAAATCTATGAGCTGTACGCTGGATGCGTGCTTGTGTCTTTGATGTGGATTGAATATGTGGACTCGGTTATTGTAGAACTTCACAATAGGGTCATGAGTTATCGAGATTGAAAGTTCAGATATAAATACTTAGACTTCTCTCTTTTCTCTCTCCCTCTTCGATCTTTCTTTCTTCAGCCAACGGTGAGCTCTGATTTTTTTTCTTTTTTTTCGATCGTCAAAGACAGTTCCAAGTTTCAAAGATTGACCAGCACAATCTCTACACCTTTTGATTTTGACAGCAGTTTCTCCAAACTTGACTACACCTCTCGAGTTTCGATCACAACTTCCAACACCACAGACAAAAGAATCACCCATCCATCCCAAACCCCTACCTCTATATATCACCCCACCCCAAACTTCTCTCCCAACATTATCCAAGATGGATAATACCAACCTCCCCTCCCAGCCTCCCAACTCTCCCGCCGAGTCTCGCGGCTCGATTTCATCTGAGGATGCACCAAGCGGTGCCCTCGTTTTCCTCGTGGGCCCCGCCCAAGAAGAGATCCTCGTGGACGTGACGGGTCTCCGCGAAGCCTTGTCCGTCTTTGCGGAACTCCTGGCGCCCCACGCCATGGAAATGCAAGGCATTTCCTACCCCGGTTTTGGCTTTGCTTCCCCTCTTCCCCGGGAGATTGCTCTCCCTGATGACGACGCTTTCGCCATGAAAGCAATCATTTACGCCCTCGCTTTCCCCGGCCGGTTCATCCGGCCCGCCACCCCCGCCGACCCTGCGCCTGGCCCGAGTGTGAGGGAGTTTCTCCACCTCGCGGTGGCTATCAAGAAGTACAAGTTGCAGGACAACTGGTTTGTGCCGTGGCCTCGCTGGTTCGAGGCGGCTATTGACAAGGTCAAGGCGAACGGAACGGCCCAGGAGATGGTCTGGTTGGTCGCTGCTGCTTGGCAGCTGGGACAGAGAAGACGGTTTGCGGAGCTTGGCTTGGACTTGATGGTCAAGCATGAGGGCAGGGCTGGAAGCTACTTTCGGTTCTGCGAGAGGGATGGGGTCGTGCAGAGGGCGCTGCCTCTGAAGTTTTGGTGTAAGTCACATACCTCTGTGTCATTCTTGTGTGGACTTGATGAAGCTAACTCTCTTGACCTGTTTCTCTAGGCCTTATCGGGGAGCGCGCGGCTCGTTTGCATAAGCGGGTTGTTGACCTCGTTCGCTCGAGGGCCCGAGATGACGGTTGCGGTTGTGGAGGAAGGGCGGAGGTCAACAGCGCCTGGGCAAGCGTCTATGACGAGTTCGGCTGGGTTGCTGCTGTTCCGCTGAGCGAGTTGCTTGGAGCGGCCGAGCTGCTGGCTGAGCAGGAGGCGGCTAGTGTGGCGGAGGAGTGCGATTGCATGGGTGATAGGGACTTGGGTCGGGCGGCTGTCAAGGAGGAGCTGGAGAAGTTTAAGAGGGAGGCAAAGATCTGTGTTGAGTGCGTGCTGATGGACGAGGGCTCTCATTCGGTTGAGAACTCTGTTTACCACTGACTTCAGGTTCTATGATATGGTGCAGTAATGAACAAAGGAAAGGGAGCTCAGCGAGTTTGAGTGGTTTTTACTTTGCTTCCACTTGTGATTTGCTTTGCGTTGACATGTTTACCCCCGAACCCGTGATATTGTCATCTTTCAGGCGCGTAATGTCACAGATCGTGAAGTTTGTCAACGCATTGGCACGGACAACTGAAATGAAGAATAAACATTTCAAAAGGACAATGACTTCTATTATGTACCTCTGGACGTCACTGCCCTGAGTACCTACCAGGGCAGTCACGCTCCCTACAACATCGTCGTGGGCTAGACCCACATGCTGACAGAGACGTTGACGGAGCAGGTGCAAAGACGACGACGGAGAAGGAGTGTGGTTCTGGTCATGCCTTCCAGTTTGGGAGAGGAGAATTCCTAGGAAATCTGGGCAGTCTGCGAAGGTGGATGTTGCTTTCCAAAGGAAACCTTTCACGTACCTTGCGAATTTGGAGGTCTTTCATCCATAACTACCACGATTAAACCTTTAATTCACGATGTTCGTAGCCTTGATCCCACATATCGCACCGATTTCCTTCCTGACAATGCTTGGTCCCCTCCGTTTTAGTGAATTGCTTCCCAATTGCCTTCAAAGTGACATCCTTTGTGACCGGCTCCCAAAGACTGTTTCTGAAGTCTCCCGCTAAGAACTGTGCCGGCGCTTTTGGGCTTTCTTTTCGTCCGCTGTGCTTTCGTTGAACTGCCCCTTTCACCAGCCATCCTCCGACACACCCTCCAGTTTCTCGTTCCATAGTTACATGATAATCTCAGCCATATAAGACACAACCATATCTCTCACCCAACCATTAAACCAACTTCTCTATCCACCACACAACGAATGATGGAGAACACAAACCCTCCACACCGCGCCATAATGCCCTCACCCACTTCCGCTTCCAACGCTCTAACCAATACCGGCGATATTCCACTCATCAACCTCTCTCCCGACGGAAACGTGATCATCACCATCAACGTCAGCAACGAAGACGACCCCTCCTCTCAGTCTGAGTCGGACCAACCCCATTCCCAACCTCTTATCCGCCTACTCGTCAACGACACTATCATCCGTTCCGCATCTGAGAAGTTCTCAGCCACGTTGTTGTCCCCTTTGGAACTTGAACGTCAGCACCAGAGCAAATTACTCAGCCACCCATCAGACGTATGGCCCCAGCCTCCAACCCCGCCAAAGGAGGTCGTCCTCCCTATCCCGGATGACAACATGGACCCCGACGCTTTAAGAACAATCCTTTGCGTCTTGCATCTTCGTAATGACCTACTTAATGAAGTTCCCAAGGCTAGAGAGTTACTGCACATAGCGCTCCTTGCCGATAGATACGACCTTTCTAGAGCATTAAAGTTAGCAAGCGAAGCATGGCTCGAGAAGAGCATGGTTGATTGTATGGCTTTGAGTCTTGAGGGTGTTGATCTCGATATTGAATCCGATTATGACCCTGTCTTTAGGCACAGAATGGCGTCAAAAGAAATCATGGACTTGGTGGCTGCTGCATGGTTGTTCAGGAACAGATCAGCTTTTGCGAAGCTGACGGTTGAGTTGGCGATGAGACACCAGGAAAGCTTTACTTGGTTTTTGGAAGATAGGGTACTGGAACAGGCGATACCTCAGAAATTTTGGAGTAAGTACCTAGTATCTCTCTCTGCTTGTTGGACTGGAATCTTGAACTTGACAATGCTGACTTGAACCGTTCAGTCCTTCTCATCGAACGCAATGCTCGCCTCCGCTCCAATCTTCTCGAACTCATTTACATCCTTGGACAGGAAAATGAAGCTGATGGTAAACCCACCCCTGCGTGCAATCATCCTTGGCACTCCATTGATGATTACCAACAGCTTTACAAACGGTTCGGGTCTGGCAGAGTCAGACCCTCCAGTAACGGGTACCCGCCCATTGATCTTGTGTTAGGGATAGAGACAGTCAACAAGCATGAAAGGATGTGTCCTGGCTGTGTATGCGGGAATCGGGAACTGGAGCCTCAAGCTGTCCAAGAGAAGTTGGAAAGAGTAAAGAAGGAGGTCAGAATCTGTTTGGAATGTGTGGAGAAACCGGTCGAATTGGTGTGCAGTCATCTGGACTGAATGTCAACGTCTGCAAAGTATCTTATGCCAGGTGTTGGGAAAAGAGATCACCACTTATCCAGTTCGTAGCACATAGCTCAACATACGGAATCGAGATTCCATAGACAGCTAATAAAAAACAGGATGCTCTAGCAAACGACGGCGAGACGCCGAGACCGCGGGTGATGAATCAGTGAAAAGCTCCTCTTCCATTGCATTGCTATCTACCCCACCAAAGACACTCACTTGGAGGGTCCAGATGTCAACAAATGATGGCAAGACCAAGCATTGACGATCTGAACCTCCCAAATACACATCTTCCCTCAATCTCCATCTGCTACCTCCATCTCTCCTCAACAAAAAAAAAAAAAAAAAAAAAAAACAAGAAATCCGTTGCGTTTGCCGATCTTTGGGCTTTTATCCCTTCATGTGTACAATATTGACTCTGTAGTCTGCGTCCAGTGCTTTTCCTCCTTCGTCTTATCCTTCGATCTGTATCATCGCAATTCAGACACCTGTCCAGGGCCCAAACATACATGTCGAACTACTCGTCAATCAAATCGAAAAGGGGAGACGAAGCCGGGGGTAACCTGGACGCAGCCTACAGAGCCGGGAAGGGATAAAAGCCCTTGGCGGGTCGGCGAACGCAACGGTCACCCCAGCATGCCATGCCTAGCGCCGGTTTTTCTGAAAGTTCATGTACCTAACCTGAAGCTCGTTGAAGAGCCACCCCCTAGCAGGAGAGGAGGAGTCTCAGTGGATGTGGAAGGAATAACCCGACACCAACGTCAGTTGTTATCTGATATTGCTGCCACAACCATTGAGACTCCTCCGCTTCTGCGAGAGCGTGGAAAATGGACAATCCAGCCCGATCCTGGATGTGTCCCAGTTCAACGCGCGTCCAGCAACTTCCAACAAACCCCCTAGACATATTACCTAGTCTGTTGGCGTTTTCGCCGTGAATTGTTCAATTTAATATGCTCATCTCGAATGTGGCGTTTCAAGTTGTCGTCACGAGTGTAAGTCCTCGAACAGGTTGGACATTGATACTTTTCACTCGCGTCCAGGTTTCCACGACGGTGTGTTTTGCGGTGCCGTTCTAGCTGTGCTGGAGCAGCGAATGCAAACTGACATCCGGGCTCATCGCACACGTGGGGTTTCTTGTGTGACTTTTGGTGGCGCCTGTCATGGTAAAACAATGTCAGAGACTGTCCCTGAATGAAGGATGACGGAGCACATTGAAAGGGAAACTAACTTGAGCTCTTTCTGACTGGGTTTTGTAACCTTGCAGCTGGGATAATCGCACACGAACTGATCACTGTTCCAGCTAATGGGGCTTGTCGACGAGTTGCTTCCGGTACTTGTTTGCCATGCCATGTCCGGAGTGTGTGCCGTGATTGTGCTGCTGGTGGTTTGCCATCCATAGGGGCTCATACAGGAAGAGATGTTTTGCCCAAGCTGAAGGTTCGCAGCCAGTTGATCCCCATTCGTGGGGAGAGTGGAACTGGAGGTGTACTGAAGATTCCAGTATTGCATCGGCATGTCCACAAGCGGTGATGAAGGCCAGTCCAGCTGCATCAGTGGAAGACCTTGGATTATCGGTCTTGGGACAGGACCCGAATCCCACGCGGAAACGTCGGCGTCATTTCCAGTTAGTGTGCGTATCTGCTGGAGTGGTGGACAAAAGTCGAGATGCTGCGATACAAGGCCATTGGGGTCCTGGCTTGCGTTGTAAATTGCATCGCATATGTTTTGAGTGTTCGCCGAAAGGTCTGGAAAATGTTCGTCAAGGTTCAACCCTGAGCCTTCACAGGGTAAGTATGGTGGTACCCAATCAAAACCGAGACGCTCAAGACTGTTGCCGTATTCGTTGCTGTCGTAGTTGTTGCTGTCGTAGTTATTAGTGTCGTCGCCAACCTGGCAAGTCCCCTGACCCAACTCCCACCACGATGTCCCATCTTCTTCACTCCCGCTTCCCCCCAGCTGACCAAAGAAACGATTATTTGCCAAATCAACACTCGACAACAAGGGGCAGCCAGAGCTCGAGGGCCCTGTAAACAAGAGCTCGTGCTCACACCTTATTCCCGAGTGTTGATTTGGCAAATAATTGTTAGCTTGATCACTGCAACATTGCCAAATACTTGGGTGCCGGGTGGGGGGTCAAAGCGCCCCCACCGGTGCGCTTCTTGCTGGTTGGGATTGTGATTCTGTGCGGTTGGGACTTTGGTCAGTCTTTGTTGGTTTCGTTGTTTCCGATCCAAGGTTGGGCAGATTTGCGGATGGGGTGCCTACCGAAGGGGGAGGAGGGATTGGTGCTCCCAGAGCAACTGGTGAAAGGACAGGCGGTCTCCCCCAAGTGAATCTTGTTGTCAAAGGTGCAAACACAATCCAACGAGGCCTCCTACCCCTCATATATCTTTTTTGTTTCTGCTCTCAGAACTGCCAGTTCTGGGCCGACCTTGTTTGACATCCCCACCTCTTGGCGTGGAGGCCTGCTGAGGCATGCTCATCGACGGCATGATGCATGTATGATGCAGCATTCGGGTGGTATCCGGAGCCTGCCTCAACAGCTGTTTGCTATCATTGGACGCACAGTGGCATCGATGGGAGACGGTAGGGTGGATACCAAGGCGCAACCAATTGTGGTGAATAGATGGAGAGCGATCGTAAGTTGACCTCATTATCTGCCAGTCTATTAGAGAATGTTTAGGTCACCTAAAACTGCTTCCAATCCGGGTCAAAAGATGTAATAAAAGGTCTTCTTGAATGCGTCAAGGACCCTATCGAGGGTGTTTCTTATGTTCTGACCGTGACGTGTTCGGTTGGCTCGGCGTCGTCGGATTGGTCAAGACGGACGTGTTATTGAGGTACCTTATACTGTAATGCCTGGCGTGGCCGGGCCTGCGCCTCCGGAAAGAGCGCCACAGCGGCCTTAAGACCACCTATGCCGCGCCCCTTCCGCCTCCGCATCAGAGACTTCTGCATGTTCTAATTGACCGCATCCGCGGCCAACTTCTGTCTCCATGTCCTTGGAAGATTACGTAGCCAAAGCCTACGCACTCCCCCTCTGGTCTTTCTTCTTCAGCGTCAAGTCCGGGTCCTCCGCGTGCGCTGGAAGGCCCATTTGCTTAGGTACTTTCTCCCGCGACTTACCATCCTCGACAATCATCCGTAACCATCTCGGGGAAGGCTCTCAATTAGAGCACTAAGGTAATTGGCCTCAAACTGGTCTTCGTTTGTACCTAATCACTAACAATAACCAGAGTTTATCACGCCACGAAAGCTCTCTTTTCGGTCTCTCCCCGTCTGTTATTATGCCTCTATCCGTCTCTTTCGAGCTCCTATAAGACTGGAAGATATCAACCCCTTACGGCACCTGTCCACTCAAAGCCTCCCGATTGAACGCTATGTTCGCCTCTATGGGCAAGTCTTGAATGACATGGTGGTCCACTGCAGCAACTCGTGACCGGGATTGCTCTCGTGGCTGGGGCTATACTTCCAATATCACTTGGACATCATCAACTACCTATCTTGCTAGATTCAGCTGCAACACTCACTTCCTTGTCATCGATGCAAATCATGCGATTCATCGAGACTGAACGAACGAATCGACGGTGAGGGACTGGCCACCGCACGACATTCGGACATACGACTCGGAGGAAGCAATTCATATTCGTCTACATATCTCGTACTACATCATCATCAAACCACGGACTATCGGGAGCCATGGTCATGAATCATCATGATCGTCATGGAAAATTGTCACCAGATCTGTCACATCGTGCCCGCCACCCATTTCCTCCTCTAAGAGCTGCACCCACCAAGACGCACACTCCCAGCGTAGATCTCATAACTATCAGCATTCGCCGCTGCCTGCGCAGCCGAGAGCTGCTTCGCAGCCGTCTGGCCGTACGCATAGTCATCCGTGCCGTACAGGTGCGTCATCTCGTGCAGGATGCTGCCAGCCCTGTCATAGTCGTCGTCGGCGCAGGTACTGGCGAACTCGGGGAAGCCCCAGAAGCCGTTGTTGGGGCAGGGGACGATGGTGTTGGCGCTGGGGATCGTGTACAGCAGGGCGCTGCCGTCGGAGCAGCCGCTGTAGGTGTCGGCGCAGGAGATGGCGGGCGAGGTGGTCTGGACGTTCTTGACGTCGTTGTAGATGGAGCGCACCTTGGACTCCTGCGAGGTGGACCGGAACCAGGTGGTGAAGTAGTACGCCGCCGAGCCGGCGGCCGTGTAGGCCGCGCCGGCCATGGAGATGGCGTCGGAGACACTGGTCTTGAGGGAGTTGGTCTGCGAGGTGGAGCAGGAGTGGTAGGTAACGGAGCGCCTGGCGATGCGGGAGGCGGGAGCTCCTGCTAGGCGCTTGGAGATGTGGTCACTTTTGGGGAGTAGGAAATATGTTAGCCGGGGACGGGGCTTCATGAGTGACTGACAGGCGGGTGGGTGGGCTTACTCGGCGGCTTTGCTCTGGTCGGGGGTGATGGTGTACGAGTCCGAGCTGGCCTCGCAGAAGGAGAGGTCCTTGAGCGAGTCGGGCGCGGTCGTTCCCGTGACGTATTTGAAACCCTGGAGGGCCGAGATGTTGGCGCTCTTGACGCCGGAGAGCCTGTAGGTCCTGGCGGCGTTGACGGACGCCGTGACGGACTCGCCGGGCTGGAGGGTCTGGAACATGTCGGGAGAGACGCCGCTACGCTTGTAGTTGACGTAGGCGCCCTCGAAGGGAAGTGCCTTGCCGGCTTATGGACATGTCAGCCATGATGCGTTGGGACAATGCTAAGGGGCTTTGCTTACAGGCATCAGTCACGACGAGATCCTTGGTAGCGTGTTCACTGAGCACCGTGTTGCCCTTGAAGACTGTGATGGGCTCGGCTCCGGTGTTGGTGACGGAGACTTGGGCGACGTGATGGTCTGCGCCGACAATCTGGACAGAGAGTGGGCAAGCAGCCATGGCTGCGCCGGCCAGAGTGGCAACGGTGAGGACGTTGGAGATCATGGTGATGTGTGTCGAAACTGAAATTGATTCAACGATGTCTGGATGGCCTGTCTAGGGGAAGAGGTCATAGGGGGGAATACATGAGTATAAGTAGGTATCCTACGAGGCACGACAAACTCGACCATCCCTCCATCCTACCCCGATATCGATCTCTCCCAGCCCGGCCAAACATACCCTATTGTAGGAGTCTCGACCGATTACTACCACAACCTCCACAAGCATCCCCAAGTATCCTAGCCCGAGGGTCTCAAAGCGCTTGGACGAGGAGGAAGCCGTTTCTGAAGGTCGCTAAGAGGAAAGTGTGATGCTATTCACAGTCAGGGGTAGCATCAGATCAACCTTCTCAATTAGGACTAGCTGGCACGTCCTGCTTATCGATATGTAATCTGTTCTGTCGAAAGACACCTTACTCTCTTGGCAAATCAACAAGATGATCACTATGCGACGCTGCTAAAAGATCATGCCAGGGTAGCCGAGGAGCCATTTGTGGAGGTGCCAGTGATGGAAATGCTAAAAGTGCCATGCTACATTCACAGTCAGGGGTAGCATCAACCTTCTCAATTAGGACTAGCTAGCACGTTCCTACAAATCAACCGAGCGAGGGCGCGCCGAAGGATGCCGAATACCCAGTTTGACGATGATCGTATGTAAGATCCTCATCCGATATGATCTACTAGACGATTTAAGGAAGTTGAAAACACCAAGGCCAAGATCGTACGTACACCACAAGGGAATAGTTTACGGACACACAGATTTTGAAGAATATCAGCGAGGGTACCGTTTATCCGGTTGCGGGGAAGCACAAGAGTGAACTGGCCGGTATCGGTGCGTAGGTTATGGGTAACGAGGGAAACGGTTACAAGGCGTCTCTGCTAGGGGATTAAGACTGGAGGATAACATCGTGATGATGCTTGGCAATGAGTTTCCATGGTGGTGTATTCTTTGATGAGCCTCGTCCTGCGGGTGTGTTGATGCTGATTAGTCGCATAGAATTCTGTCTGAATCTGGCGCTTCTACTTCTCGTCCAGATTGAACTTGTGGGTCCACTTGGTGCCATCGAACTTGGGGGGGGGGGGGCGTTGAGCTTGATGGTGCTCTTTATGGTGGAGTGAGCCGGCTCGGCGGCCTTGACTCGGTTGCCGTCGTCATCCACAATGCCGTGCCGGTCATGGCATCAGTGCCGGGGCCAGGGTCTCTGGCCGTGGTGCCCGGGAGTCCAGCTCCAGCGGGTCCTCCAGCAAGATTACCAGTCGGGATTCCGGACATGATAACGGTGAGAGAGTCAAGGTGAGGGTTGAGGAAAACTTTGGGTGCAGCAGCAGACCCCAGAATACTAGTGTGCAAATTGATGAGCAAGCAACGTGTAACGAACCGTTACAAGCACAGGAGTATATCGCTGGGAACAAAGAGTAGTAACGGATGGTGGTAGCCAAAAGGTACTGGTTCATTGTGTCAGTTGGTTGCTTGCTGAAGAGCCCAGTAGACAGAAGGCCTGGGAAGGCCTTTTGTTGAAGCCATCACCAATTCTTGGCATTCTCTTGGCATTAGTGGATACGATCCACACATGGCTACCCTGTATATACCTAAGTCGGATTTCATCCTCCTTCTTCTTCTTTCTCGCTGACATGGAACGTAATTATCCAAAACGAACAACACTGTCTCGTGTTGCAGACACCCCAAGCACAAAAGAAGGGACTTGAGATTTTAACGTCTACGCAAGGTATTAGAGGCAAGACACCAGGTGGAGAGGGGTAGGTTGAGGCTCAGATCTGCAGGAGTCATCGTGTCAACCACTCACATCGATGCACATCTGCAAGCCATGAGCGGGCATGCCTCCAGTCATCAAACGAAGGGTGTGGCTTGCGCGATGCAGCTCAAGACTGGAAAGGCGGGGTTCCATGACACCTCAACCTCATCACTGGGGAAGCTGCATTTGTGCCTCGGATCACGTCCTCACGGTATCTCCCATCCACGTTCCATGAACTCTATCGACCGTCCGGAACTCCCCTCTTTCATCAGTTCCCGATTACGCTTCGACCTCGCTTGTCAAGAGCCCGCCAGACAAGTACCAACATGGACGACAACTCGGACATCCTCGAAGTTTCCCCTGTGGGAGACATCATCTTGGTCGTCGGCCCTCCTGAGGAGGAGCAACTGCGTCTCAGGGTTTCGTCCACAATCCTTAGATCGGCCTCCAAAGTCTTCGACGCCATGTTTTCGCCGCCTTGGGTTGAAAGCTCCCGCACGCTTTCGCTCGAATCTCCCAAGAACGTTGACCTTCCCGAAGACGACCCCGAGGCAATGAAAATAATTTGTTACGCCATCCACCACCGTCCTGACATGATACCCTTTGTTGATGTGAATGGAAAGCAAATTCTACAGGCTGCCCGTACCATTGACAAATACGATCTGGGTACGGCAATGCAACTCGTTACCGACAAGTGGCTCCGTCAACAGCTACGAGCCAAAAGCGTCGAGGACCTGCTGTACATGGCCGCAGCGGCCACGGTGTTGAAGAACTACGAGGCTTTCTCCAAGCTCACCTGGCTTGCCATGATCATCCACGAAGGCAGCTATCTCCGCTTCCAAAACAATGATCAACTTAGGGAGCTGTTCCCTCCAGGAATGTTCTGTAAGGGTCGTCCCACGCGCTATTAGAGGACCACAGACCTGTCTCCGTATATCTACTGACACTTCGCGTGATCAAAGTCCTACTCTTAGAGCGAACCTTCTTGATCCGTGGGCGCCTTTCCAAGGCCTGCATGAAGCAAGGCCATTGGATACTTGCAACTGCGGTGACGCCCTTAAGCATAAAATAGAGTCGGTGAGAGCCGACTGCGGTGTTGCCAGCAGTACCAATATCTCGATCCTGAAAGCATTGAGGGGCATGGTTGAGGTTGCCAGTGCGCAAGATGCTCTCCGGAGGAGACCCTGCTCAGCTAACATCATTCGCCACTCATGTCGCGATCTTCGTACCATGCTTCCGGACTGGACTGAGAGCGAAACCAGTCTCTGCCTTCGATGCCTACAGAACGACCCGAACATGGAGAAGGCGTGCAACCATAAAAAGAAACCTTTCTACAGGGAACATCGCGAGTTAGAGCTATTATATCTGTATTGACATCAACAGTGGACGGGATGTCGGTTTCGCTTCAGATAAATAGCACTTGGATGTAACTCCGAAGGATTGGTAGCCTTGGAGATGACAGAGATATGCAAGGGAGAACCTGCCCACCCTATGATTTCCTACACGTATCCTAGAGACTTCGCAATTTTCATCAAAATTTTTAAAAAAAAAAAAAATTTTTTTTTTTTTTTTTTTTTCTTTTCCACGAGAGCGACTGCATTTTCGCCCAAAACTTCGTGTTCTGATATAGGCAGCGCCAATTCCACGAATTACAGAGGTTTTCAGTTCGACGGTATAACCTCTTCGATACCTGATTTTGCCATCATTGAAAGTTGTTTAAATCTCACGTTCACATCCTTTGACAATCAGACATATCTATTTGAGTTCACCCGCTCGCTATCTTGGGGGTACAAATCGGTTCAGCCCGACTCATAGGGATATAGAACCAGAGGCTTGGCCATCATGTACTAATGAAAAACGCCTCTGGGTTCAAACATCTAATGTGGCGGGCGCTGGGGAGGCGGAGGTTTGAACCTGGTACGTAGGTGTGACTTTTTGTCGTACGTGGGCAAGGAGAAACACAATTTACAATGGAAATATGTTGCTGTTGAATGAAAGCGCAAAACGATAGGTATGAACACAAAAACACACTAAGTCATTGACCTCCAGAAGGCCGTGATCAGGTTATTCTGAAAAACAAAAACCAACGCGCTCAACCATTTATACAGCAGGAGAATAACCAGAGACTGTAGCGTTGAAAGTGCCTTTCTGCGTACTTCAACTTCATCCTAACTGACAGGAGCGATAGAAACAATGGGGAGGTAATCGCAGTTTGCGGTTATAGAGAAAAAAGGTCTGTATTGTACTTAGGTTCACAATTCCAGGTGATCAAGGACGACAATGTCAGTTGACGATCAGAGATCAGAAATGTCCTTCAAATGTCAGGTACGATGTGGTTTGATAGGGGACACAGACGCCCGGCAGCGCAGGGGCATGTAAGTGCACTATACCTAGGTAGGTTGCAGTGAATGCCCGCCTGGCTGCCGCTATGACCCCCTGGAGCCGCTGGTCGGATCTGCTGCGAATTGGAAAGAACAAACAAGCAGAGTGGACTGTGACACTGACGACGAACATCGAGATTCCGAATTTCAGCTCAGAGACGCCCAGGTTGCATAGCTCAAGATAAACAATCAAAGGCAGAGGATTTTTGACGGCGCATACAGTTCGTTCGAAGAAAAGGCTGTTCCCCAAACTGCTCAGCCACGCCTTGGTGCCAGACCATCGTCGTCGAACCACCTGACCTCGAAACACGCACCGTGATCAAGCCTCGACTTTCTCTCCAGATCACCGACGATTCCTTTTCGAGAAGCGGAAACACGTCCGCGTCCTGAAACGTCAAAATCTTTGCGCCCTCCTGGTCAAGGTCACATTGGCAGTGGAGGCTTAGCTAAAGCCTAAAGGCTAAACTCCCGTCCCGTTCCTCGTGCTCGGATCTCGCCTGCTGCATCCGCCTTCTGCGTCCTCGATCCCTTCTCCGCAAAGAAGTGCTCAACACCTCCGCTCCATTTTCCGAGCTAGCTAGGTGCTACTGGACACTTGTTGGCTACAAATCAAGGATCCCCGGATCTGGGGAAATGGGTCGTCGACGCGTGGTCACGTACCTCCCAATTTATCCAATGCCGGTTCAAATGACCAATGCAACCCAAGCATCCTAAGATTGACAGGACCTCAAGCAATGCGAACATGCATAAACTCTGGACAGGGCTAGCTCAACCAAGAACAAGACATCCGATCAAGCGAGCGAAACATTCCAGAAACCAGGATTCAACAGAGGTTCTTCGAACAAATGCTGCCCCCTGATACTCTGCGCCCCCAGTTTTACCCGCTTGACCGTCCAAGGCACTCGACAACAAACCCACAAAGGACCTTGAAGTGTTACTATTTTCATGCAATGGCCACCACCCCATTACGTCCAAACCTTGGCCTTGGGGTGACAGTAGCTGGATCTTGTTAGTCATGCTGGCCTTGGCCTTCTTGCGGAGGAGCGGAATGCAACTGGGGTTGCCTCAAATGGGCGGCGACATGCTTCCGCAACAACGGTGACATCGTCAATATCTTACATGCTCAGATGTCTCGATAACGTTCTGGCTACCAGTCTGACCGCTGAGTATAACTATTCGCCACCCACTCCCATCGAGAAAGGTAGATCGACAAGCCCGGGAATAGATCTACTGCAACTTCTTCATCAGCACTAAATATCAAGATGTGGCCCTCTCCCAAAGCTGCTTACCTCCTTCTGTTGGCCCGCTCGGCTCTCGTCGGCGCGTCCCCTGTCGAGCTTGAAGAGCGTCAGTCATGCCCTTCCATCCACGTCTTCGGTGCTCGTGAGACCACGGTCTCCCCCGGATTTGGTACCGCTGGCGTCGTTGTCAACCTCATCCTCCAGGCCTATCCAGGTGCCACCTCCGAGGCCATCGTCTACCCAGCCTGTGGTGGCCAGTCCTCTTGCGGCGGCGTCCAGTACGGCGATTCCGCCAGACAGGGCACCGACGCTGTTGCCACGGCTGTCAACAGTCTCAATGCTCGCTGCCCCGACACCCAGATTGTTCTTGTCGGATATTCTCAGGTGTGTTTGCGCTGCCTTTATCGCTTTTGTTTCCTGGAAGAAAAGCTCTAACCTATGTGATAAACAGGGTGGTCAAATCATGGACAATGCCGTCTGCGGTGGACCTGACAGCGGTGCTGGTATCACCACCAGCACCCCTGGCATCAACGCCAGCGCCCTTAACCAGGTCAAGGCCGTTATCATGATGGGTAACCCCCGTTATCGCGCTGGTCTCTCATACAATGTGGGGACCTGCACTGCTTATGGCGTATGTTCTTCCTCTCCATTCTTTCCGACATCACTGCGTTCAACAACAGGTACTGACCCTTCCTCTTACAGTTCGACCCCCGCCCTGCCGGCTACACCTGTGCCTCCGCCTCCAAGCTCCAGAACTACTGTGACTCGCCCGACCCGTACTGCTGCACGGGTAACGACGCAGCCACCCATCAAGGCTACGGCTCCAAGTACGGCCAGCAGGCCCTTGCTTTTGTCAAGTCCAAGCTCAGCAGCGGCGGCGGCGGCGGCGGAAGTACTCCTACCAACCCTAGCAACCCTTCCACCCCTACAACCCCTAGCACAGGGAACTGCGCGGCCAAGTGGGGCCAGTGCGGTGGACAGGGCTGGACGGGCGCCACCTGCTGCCAGTCTGGGTCGACTTGCCAGGCTGCTAACCAATGGTACTCCCAGTGCGTCTAAATTGGGGGGATACGTACGTCAAGGGATAAGTGGTGATGATAAGGGCCTGGGATCTAGACTGTTTAACTCTGGATAGTCAGAAGGTCCCATCGGTCGGCAACTTCTTTGTATATGAATAGCTTTATGCTGATGCTGAAATGAACATACTATGTCGGCCACTATATCAACGGGCCATGCCACTGCCTTCCTCCAACATGCTTGCCGTATCACATTGTTCAGTTGCGGTCTTATCCCTCATCATGGCCGGCGCCGACATCCAATCACTACATGGCCCATTGCCTGCCCTCGTGTCTCAACCTCTTTATAGTCTAAATGTCCTATGCGTGAATCAGGTAGTTGAAGGGACACTGAATAGTATTCAATGGTACAGTAGTTGGTCATGTGTACAGCCCATGTATCATCCGTACTTCAAGCCTAGTGAAGGATACTGAAGCGTCTGGAGTTCTCTCTCGAACCACCAGGTGTGTCACTCGCGCCAAGTTTGTCCACACTTGGGATGAAGGCTATCGAGTCAAACCTGAAGAGAAGGAGTACAATAACAATGGAGCTTGTCATTGAATTGACTCACGCTCCCCTTCACGTTGCCCAGGTTCTCGATTCCTCGGCCAGTGAGTCCATATTACGCACGCTTGGTTACTCACACTTCACTCGAAGTCTCGGTCAATTGTGCTTCCAGAAAATATACATAAAACCCCTCCGACATCTTCCACGTTCTTTGTTTCTTTGCCACCATACTCCTCACCCAATTCCAGGATCCAACTACGACGACAGCACGAAATCGCACTTCTACACACCAGATCAACTCACGTAACATACAACAACGAAAATGTCCACCCACACAACCCCCCATCTCGACAGGAAGGTGCTCCTCGCACTAGTCCCTCTAGCCTCCCTCGCAGCTTCCCACGAAGGCAACCCCAACGCCCACGGGCCGGTGAATTTCTCCGAAATCGCCGAAAGCATTACGGCAGCCACGACCTCTACAACTCAACCGACATCAGCCATCGAAACAAGCAGGAGCAGCAGCCACTCAACGCACTTGACTCCTTCCCTTCTTCACGGGATCATCCCAAGTGTCACCACCACTGCTTCTACGTCCCCAAGTCCTTTGGGGGCAGATCAGACCAGGACGCAGACAGTTTGGGCCAATGTCGCCCAAGTGACAGAGGTAGTAACCATCGTCAAGACACTTACTCCTGATCATGAGACTAGTGCTACGGATACCTCGTCCTCCTCGACGACATCAAGTCAAAGTCAGTCATGGCCTAAAGGGTACTGCACCAGGAAGGGAGAAGTCGCAGTCAATGGCGAGTGTGTGCCTAGCACGATGGTGACTAGTACTACTACGAGGGGAACAAAGTCTAGTTCTAGTTCTGGTGAAAGTTCTAGCAGTATTAGCTTTACGATCACATCTACTTCTAGCTCTTTGACAGCTTCCCCAACATCCACCACCAACGCTATCACGACCTCTACCGCCAGCAAATCTACATCAACTTCAACTTCAACAGACACGGACCCCCTCGTCATCATCCCCGTCACTGCAACCGTCACAGACCTAATCAACTATAATACATACACCGCCCCCGCCTCCCTACCGCCCTTGCCTCCTCTTCTTCCTCCTCCTGGTCCCAGGGTCAGCGCCAGCAGCAAATCGTCGTCGTCGCCGTCGATCTCGGATGATGGTCCGCTGGAAATCATACCTGTCACCGGCACGGTAACTGATTTGGTGGATTACGAGACTGTGATGGTGCCGAGTGCGACTGCTACTACGGTGGTGGTCATCCCTGTCAGTAGTAGCAGCACAACGAAGAGTCAGGACGTGGGACAGATGCTGGGACAGATCCAGGGGATGGGGGAACAGAGCAGTCGTGTGGTGGTGCATCCTACGGTGAGCGTGGGGGATCGGTTGACGGTTGTTGTTAGTGGGGGTGATGGGAGGACGACTATTACGAGGGCTTCTCCGATGGCGAGTGCCGGTTCGGCGATGAAAGGGGAGGGAGGTGGTGGTAAGTTCTGCAAGGAAGAGTAGGAGGATTAAGAATAAATGGCCAAATGATGGGGAAGAATAGTGGGATTAGGTGGTCAACTGCTGATGGAATTTACAAAGTTGGGGTTCGGGAATGTTATTCTTCAAGAAGGTTTCAGCGTCGATCATCTCTTTGACATCGTTTGTTCGCGCCTGGAGAGGGAAGCTCGATAGGAGTGGTCTCCTCAAATTGGGTGCCGTTGCATTGCTCAGACAAACGCGTGCGTATTGAAGGTAGTAATAGCATGGATTTCAATGAACTAATGAGGGTTGTGATGTGATTATTAAAACATCAACGATCTAGTCGAATGGTAAATTTGTGATGAGTACAGCTGGACTAATAGAAACCGTGCACCACCCGTTCGGGAAATGCTGATACGGTAAGGAAGGGAGTATGATAGGCTTGAAAGTATCAAATCTTATCATCGAGAACTTTTGGGTACCTATTCCGACGACACTACACTACTTCTGACATAGTATTGTGAGTTTGACGAGTTTGGTGCGTAAACCAGCCGCCGGGCTGCCTTTATTGAACAACAACCTAATTACTAGACATAGTATCCCCGAAAACTTGGAACATCTAACCAATGTGAATGACATGCGGCGTTGTCTGTAGTGATCTAGGATTTGACAAGAGACAGAAAAGTTCTTCAAGCGGTTCGCCTTGCCAAAATGTTTCGACTACGGCGATTTGAAAGTTCGATAAGCAGACCGTATCTATGAAGAGGTTTTCCGGCTGCATTCTTTGGATTGTGAATGTTTGGACTATCATTCAGCTATGGAAAGAGGAGGATTAACAAAAGAGGAGGAGAATTCACTCGGAATACGTAGAGGCGAGTACTGTCCACCAATCAATCGATGTTGCGATTGGCAGCATTGAACGCGACGGGACGTAGAAGCCCCAAGTCAGACATGGACAACCGCCCCGCATGACGTCATTCTGGCTTATGCTTTGTCCCTTTTCTCCGCGCGGATACAGAAGCTGAGGAAGGAGCAAACAGAGACTTGCATCCAGGCATCTCATCTTTGGTTGTTCTTCCCATCCCGAGTTTACACACGGACACAACCAGGAAGGCCCGGCCCGCCCGGTCCGCCCTCCTTGACCAGCTGTTCGTTTCGTTGTCTCTGTTTCAACCTCAATGGCAGGCTCCCTCTGTCCTTTCGTGAACCTGTTCATCCCACCCCATTGATCTGCCGGCGAAAAAACCGTCCAATCTAGAATCTTGACACGAACGACCGAGCAACATGGTGGGAAGAAGACCCAGAACCGTCAACTCGGCCACCGATTGGCACGGGACCATGCCGTCTCGTCAGCCGTCTTCCATCCGCCGACGGTATCGAGATGACGATGAAGAAACCGGACTCCATTCCAACGTCTCCCCTGGCAATCACCACGGCCCTCCCTCCACCGAGCCCACTTCCACGCAGAGTACCCTCGCCGCCCCCACGTTGCGCCCTTCCCCACGCGAAATTCAGATCCACGACGACCGCGCCAAGGTCACCTCTTTCAGCGGCTTCAAAGATGCCCGACACCTGGCCATCGCCGAACAGCGTCGCATTGACTTGAAACAGAGGGTGCTCGATGGCATGAAAGGCTTATCCTCCTGGGAGGAACACTGTCGCAAGTCCGATGCCGAGCTCAAAGCCATCAAAAACAAGAATATCAGGAGATACTACGAGTCCCAAAACGAGACGCTCGATAGCTGGGTCGAGGTTGACGCTTTGGTCATGGCCGTTGCCGATGATGTCATTGACAGCATGAATCCCGACGCCGATAGGGACGGCATTGCCGAACGCCGTGTTCCCCTCGCCGACTCCAAAGGCGCCGTTGAAGCATTTCTGCCTCCCGAGCACATCGAGAAGCGCCGCCGTGATGAACGAAACGCGAAATGGGCTATAAACACCAATGTCATCGCCAATGTGTTCATGCTCATTGGCAAGCTGGTCAGTCTACGCTTTAGTCCATCGCTTTCCTTGGCTGCCAGCACCGCGGACTCGGCCTTGGACTTGTTCTGTACCTTGATTATTTACAGTACCAACCGCATTGTCTCCTGGCGTCTGCGCGCTCTACGGCTCAAGTACCCCGTCGGAAGGCGGCGCCTCGAACCCATCGGGATTCTTGTCTTCAGTGTCATCATGGTTGTTTCCTTTATCCAGATCCTTCAAGAGTCGGTCAAGAAGCTGTTACCTGGCGGTGACAGAGATGTTGCGCCGCTGCCTCCTGTTGCTATTGGTGCCATGGCTGCCAATGCCATCATCAAGGGCATCATCGGGCTCATATGCAGACCCATCAAGACGACGCAGGTACAAGCGCTGGTGCAGGACTGCAAGACCGATGTGTACTTCAACACCGCCTCTCTCCTCTTCCCCCTGATTGGTGTTGCTGCCCAGATCTGGTGGCTGGATCCCCTCGGTGCAACTTTATTAGCCCTCTATGTCATCTGTGACTGGGCTGAGACGTGCATCGAAAACATCAGCCGCTTGACCGGAAGCAGTGTAGATGATGCCTTGCAAAAGAAGCTGATGTATCTCGCCTTCCGCTTTTCCCCTGTCGTTGCAGGCTTCAAGTCGTTGACGGCATACCATGCTGGCGATGGTGTTTGGGTCGAGCTGGACATATTGTTGGATGAGAGCACCTCGCTGCCTTTGGCACATGATATTGCCGAGACGCTGCAGTATTGCTACGAGAGTCTTCAGGAAGTGGACAGAGCTTTTGTCACGGTGGACTATTCCACCTTGGGCCCTACGGGACATAACGAGTGTGATTGATCGGTACGCTGTGGTGAGGGAGATGGTCTGGGTTGTGGTACGTCGTGGAGATCTCAGTGTCACTGCCCGTTACCACAGACTTAGTACTTCCGCCGAGCCGAGGCTGTCACTGCGACCAAAGTGTTCGTGTTGGACGGCTGTGTCTGGGTTTTGCCTCATGAATTTACTAACACAGCTATTCTCGTACTTGTGATGCAGATCTGCAGTTTGAACGGGCAATTGAGCCCAACAGGGCAGATTCTCAAGGTCAACATCATTGAGGGAGCGGGGTTTAGGCACATGGAGGAAGATGGTCACGGAAAGTCAACATTCCGATTACTCCAACATCCATCTTCTCCGCAGTATTATTCGGAACCGTCCCACTTCTTGGTGGCAAAGCCTTCCAACCAACAACCAGATCACATCGGGTACCCATGATAAGGAATGCCGAGCGGGACGGCGTTGGAACCGTGGTGCACCTAACACCGGTGCAGAGCTTGGCTGGTAGCACTAGACTGTCCATCGGACCAACGATGGTGGTATCGACTAGCCTTGGCTGCATGCAATATACAGATCTCCTTCCGTATTCATCGACATGGGCATCACGCAAACTTATACGCATTGTCGGAATGCCGTGGCACTTCAAAGCGTCTCATTCACGAGAACTACCGATGGAGTACATATAAACTCACGAGATTGTGAGGCAGATGTTGCCCAAGGGGACAAAGAGGAGACGTGCTGTCTCCGTAGCCACGATCCCCCCCACTCGGTATACGAGAGCCGAGCCCGTAGAGCCTCCATCTCTTGTCTAGATATCGCCATCCGCGCTTGTCGGGTTATGCAGTGAGACTACGAGGCCTTCCAAGGCAATATCCATCGTATCAGGCTTCACACCTGCCGAATTGGGGTTATAACGCCAACGACTGTTTGCATGTCGCAAGTGTTACCTCAAGCTCGACCTTCCCAGACGAGGTTATGTGGCCGGCATATCTCACATATTAGTCCAGATTTCCCCGCTCTTGGTAAGCAATCGCAAGATCCAGACCGTTGGCATCTTGCCAGTGCTACAGTAGGGAGAGAATGTCAGTGGACAAGGTTGCAGTGTCAGTGTTTACAGGGTTTATGATGATCGACGGGACCCGTCGTCAAGGAATGCAAGTACACAAGTATAAGATCATATCACCTCTCTTGCGTCAACCTGGAGATATCTCGACCTCCATCTCATCTTGTTGGACTCAACCACAGAGGCAAGCATCAACCCAACATGAGAACCTCCCTCTTCGCCCTCGCGGCATCCCTAGCCGCCCTAGCCTCGGCCAAAGAGAAGGCCGTCGACATGAAGCTCAAAGCCGAGCTTTATGACAGCGGTGCCAGACATGAGCATATCATGGCTCTCAAGCACGTAAGCATCCCGTCCATTCCGCCCCTCCCTTCCATACTTTCTCACCCATTCCTCCTCCATCCCTTACAGGCACTCGCATTCACATGGCTAACACGCTGCCACAACAGCAAACCTGGGCAGAACTCGACGCCGCCGGCGTCTATGACTCCACCCAATACAAGAAATTCCCTTCCTTCAAGCTCGAATACGTCCCTTGCACCAAGGGCTACGCTTCCTACGTCCCCAATGACCCCAAGTACACCTTCCGGTGCAACAATCTTGACCTGTACGACTTCAAGACGCACGCGGAGCTCGGGTCCTCTTCCGGCCGCGGCGCGGGCTCCTGGGGGTGGACTTCGCCCAAGGGGCGCGAGTTCGTGGCTATCGCCCAGGAAGACGGCACCGCTTTTGCAGAGGTCACAAAGAAGGGCAAGCTAGTTTATTTGGGAAGGCTACCGCAGTATACCACTGCTCAACCCAGCTTGTGGAGGGAGATTAAGGGGTACAAGAGCTACATCCTGATCGGCTCGGAGGCGGTCAACCACGGCGTGCAGATATTCGACCTGGCCAAGTTGCAGGATGTTGACCCTGCAAGTCCCAAGGTGTTCACGAACGAGAACGACTTGGATGGCTGGTGGACCGAGGGGTTGCCGGTGGGGAGGTCGCATAATGTGGTGACGAACGAGGAGAAGAAGTACGGTGTTGCTGTTGGGTTCCAGCCGAGAACCGGGCCGTTGCGCGCGGGCCTGGTGTTTTTCGACTTGACGGATCCGAAGAATCCCAAGACGCTGGGCGGAAGCGGTGAAGATGGGTATGTCCACGATGCGCAGTGCATTGTGTATCGCGGGCCGGATATCAAGTACTATGGGAAGGATATCTGTTATGGATATGATGAGGATTCATTGACCATGTTAGTTCCTTCTTTCCCCTCTCCTCATCTCTTCCTGCCACTGGCACGGAAAATACGAGACACTGACAAACGAGAAACAGCTTCGACGTATCCGACAAGCAAAACATCCGCATCATCTCCAACACCTCGTACGAAGGCGCCTCCTACACCCACCAAGGCTGGGTCCTCGATCCCAACTGGCAACAATACTTGATCCTCGACGACGAATACGATGAGTACGACGCCGCCGGCTTAGGCGCCGATGGATACCCCATCACCTACATCTGGGACATTTCCTCGCTTGAAAACCCCAAGCAGACGGGTCACTACAAGGGTTTGCGTCGTGGTATTGACCACAACCAGTTCATCAAGGACGGGTTCTCGTACCAGAGCAACTATGGCTTGGGTCTCAGCATTCTGGATCTGAGAAGTGTGCCGTTGGATCCCACGGGTAAGCGGATCAAGGAGGTAGCGTACTTTGATGTTCACCCAGAGGATGATAGTGCGCCGGGCGGGGGCAATGTCACTTTCACCGGTACATGGTCTCACTATCCCTTCTTTCCGAGTGGGTACATTGTTATCAACACGATGGACAGAGGCGCGTTCGTGGTTAAGAGGACGCCGGCTTCTTGGTGGCCGTTTTAAATCTTTGACGGACCCTGCAGTGGTCTTGTCACTGTTCTCTTGAATCAATGCAATACAGACAACGCATGATGTTAGAAGGTTGAAGCCTCCTTCACCCACTCAATCCCTTTTGTTTCAACGGATTTGACAGATGACTGCATTCCACCTGCTCTTACCATTCCATGTTCCTTCCAGTGTCTTGCCTTGTTTCCATTCATGCTTCCTCCTTGCTCCAGCCATCTACCTCTCAACTCATCTCATGCTCTTCCTCCCATCTTCTCCCCCTCCACTTCTTAAAGCAACACCTCCTCACACAATCCCCCCTTCTTCTTCTCTTGTATCTCAAATCTTTGGCAGATACATGGGTTTATACCGCCCTCGTCCCCGTCTCCCAAGGAGGACGAGGTCTACCCGCCCAATCGTCCGTCCCAGTCGGGATCTGCGGAGCGGGGTTCCACCCGGGGGTGTTGTAGACGCAGTGGCCATCAATCAACCAGCTGGGACTGGGGCAAGTGACGCTAGTAGAGGTAGTTATACCGCTGGTAGCGGTAGTAGTAGTGGTAGTAGTAGGAATGGGAGCCGAAGAGGTAGAGGTAGTCAAAAACGGCACGAACCCAGTGAGTGTGTAGGTTGTGTGGGGGGCAACGATCACCGTTAACATCTCGATGACGGTTACTGCTGTGGAGGAGTACGAAATGGAGGGGGTCTGGGTCTGGGCTTGTCTCTTTACTTCTACCGCTTGGGCTTGGGCGAGGGTGTTGGTTGGCCAGATGGGTACGACGGTAATGCAGATGCGGTTTGCTCCGCCTTCGACGATGCAGTTAGATGTGGATGATATAGAAGTCCCAAGTGAAGAGGTGGTCGTGGAAGCTGAGAGTGAAGGAGCAGGAGCGTTGGTGATGACGGTGAGGATGGTAGTTAACTCTGTGGCTGTTGGGACGATGATGGTTGAGAAAATGGTTGCGGTCGAGATATATTCTCTTTGGTCGTTCTTGACTTGGGCTTTGGAGTCAAGGGTGGGGAGGCTGCTGTGAATGAGAGAGGGAGGTAAGTGTGTTGAGGCTGTAGAGGCCGTGGAGGTGTTGGGTAGTGTGTACGGCGTGTCATCGACCTTGGCTTCCACTTTGGGGTAGGACAAGAGCGATGGACGCTAGAAGGGCTGGGAGAAGCGCCCTCTTGGCGGAGGTGAGGGTTGGTAATGCACGCATTATGGCGGTTTGGTTGTCGAGAGATTGGGATCAGTCTCTGGAGTGAAGCTACAATCCTGGGCCTGGGGAGGTTCAAAGGCGCGGCCTTATACTCGACGTTGTCTTGGATAGATGATTGAGCGATGCCCAGGTTCGTTTGCTTCTATGAGGTCCTCGCGAGTCAAAACCTTGAGCTCCCGTTTGTCAACGAGTTTCAGAGGTCGAAAATTGAAGAAGGAAAGGCTGAAGCCAAAGCAGCCCAAGGTTGCTGGATAAAAGGGCAAGTGAACGGGGATCATAATATCAGTGAATGAGAAACCCGCTGCGTCGACGCCCATGAACTTCCTACAACATGGAAGTGAAGGGGAAGTTTCCATCAAGCGGCAATCTGACGACGCCGTCGTCGTCCCAACTGACATCCCAATGATCCCATTACCATCCAACTCTGCGGCACAAACGGATTGTTTCGGACGGGAAACATTTCGAGAGTAAGAACTTACCAACTGCTCTGTTACAGATCACCCAATTCCCAAGCGCAGAAGAAATGGCAAGATCCGTATTGGGATGCTCCTGCCAATGTTTACGCCGAGCGAGACCGGAAAAGGGGTAAAGTGGATACCTTACTTTTGCTGGTCATAATGGACCCTAACCCGCCGTGCCCGTTGACGTTTGCTGCTTTCCTATCATCCGGGGTTTCTTTTGCCTTTTGCGAACAGTCACACTTGCGAGATGTTCAGACAGAAGAGAAGTGCGGTGGGTATTCAGCGGCTTGTTAATATTCCTGATTGCATCTTTTTATCAACAAACTTGACTGGAGAACCCATCTATGAGCGAGCTCCTCTGGCAATCGGGATGCTTGACATTTTTTTTCAACACTTACACATAGGGTTTTTTTTTTCCGGTTTTTTTTTTTTTTTTCTTTTTTTGTCGAAGTACAATGAGATTGAGAGGCTCATCGACGAGTGTTATGCTTTCCAGCTGATCGTGTGCGAATTTCATCTAGGGGAAGTGCGCAAAAGCGGGGATTGACACGACTTATGCACAGAGGGAAGGACAATGGGAAAATGGGAGAGTAATTCCAAAACGCCAACAAGAAAAAGTGCAAAAGCAAAAACGTGGATAAAGAAAGGAAGCAGCATACGCAAAGAATGGAAAAAAGTTGAAAAAAGAATGGATGCACCGCGGATCGAACGCGGGACCGTCTGTAGAGCAAGATAGAAATTTCAATGCAAAACAGAAATCATACCACTAGACCATGCACCCATGGGACTTGTTATTGTATGCTGTTACCACAACCTAAGAATGGCAAACCCTGCAGCCTGGACCTTGGCACGACTTCTACTACGCAGTAGCTCCCAGCACATCGCACGTGGCACAATGAGGTCCGTCCACACCACCATCCCTAAATGACACATCCAACAGTGCACTTCATGATTCGATTGTCACTTTTCCTCCTGCTCTGACACAGCGACAGACTTGCTTCGATTCACAATTCTGATTTTCCACGATCGTAAATGACGAGCTACTTAGCTGACTGACCGTTTCAGATGCATCCGTACCTTGCACAAAGCAGCCACGGCACCCATCCGAGATGGTCGGAAATGATACCTCGAGAAAATGTCGAATCGGGAAGCTTTGGGCATCACCGCAACATCTAGGTTGTTTCCCGCAACGCAAACTGCACCTTTTTGCACACCTTAAGCAACCCGACTCCTAACAACGAAGACTGTACAAATCCACTTCCGATGAAAACAACGAGGTCAGTAGGTCAGGCGTTGCGTTTTTTTTCCCTCCCAAACCTCATCTCTTTCCGCCAGGGCAATTGCCGAATCTTACTACCAACAAGGTCTTGTTGGCGACTTTTACGAGTTACCCAATGCCGGCCAGATGCCCAACCACTTTTCACATCCCTTGATACTTCAATCTCACGGTGAAAGGGACAGCTGAACAGGCAAACATTTTCAGTGTTTGGCGGGGACTGTACCCCCTGCAAGCCAGCTGCCAGATGGACAGCTTTCTTTGGTTTTCTTCCGATGGCTCATGGGCTCAGATTCACAAGTTCTCACAAATAGGTTTGCAGCGCACAATTGACCCATGTGTTCAGTCAGCGCAAGGACGGGAAGATGAATGGGAACACACAGCCGGAAGAGTCCTTCCTGCCTTCCATCGGCCCTGCGTGCACGTGTCCGTTCGCCCGGTAGCTGCCCGGCCGCCGCGGTGACAGTCAGTCAAGCTTTCAGCGATGTGTGCTACAAATGACATCAGGGGCGGTCATGTATGTTCTACACGCAGTGAAATTCTCGTCGAACGGGGAACGGCATCAGCACGCGCCGTGTAACGCGTCTGGAAATCCAAGTGGAAGAAGGAATGCAGTCCAGTGCAACGCCGTTGGAACTTGGAAACCTTATCGCTATCAACAAGAAGCGATGCATTAGGTTGATGTCTAGAGGTACATATCGGTACGTACCAGATGGTGAGTGGTACTACCTGATTCGGACCCCACCGACGGCACGCCCAAACACCAAAGTAAAGTTTCAAGGTTTCAAAAGTCCGATAACTTGCAGCTGCTCACCGTCACCTTAAAACCTGAATATCCGTTCCCGTGGTTTTCCCTTTGCTCGCTGGAATGTCCCGATTCCTCAACCCAACGGGCAATTGCGAGCATAGCCCCTGGCATGTTGGCAAACATCAACCCAATTGTTGGAGCATCCAACGTTCAATGTTGGCCTTTCTCAATTCCCTTTGAAATGGCTGCCAGCTCTTTTTGAGCCCAAAAGGTGGACTGTCGAACAATGCGCATCCGACAGTCAATAGGTTATTGCAAAGGAGGCCTCCCAGGTCCGGAGTTGAAGATGTCTCTCCTCCGCATTTTCACGCATGTCGATCTGGGGACAAGGTGCGACCAGCGGGCTTCTAGTTAAAACATCTCATTGGTCAAAGCTGCCAGATTAGTGGCCAAAGGTGCACCCCTGCTCGAGACAGCTGAGCTTAATTCGACTTGGCTCTTTGTTCCTCGATGCGCCCAGGCAGGCTTGGCCTCTTTGAATTGACATGAGGAACAAGAAAGCAGAACCAGCTTCCCGTCGGCATACAATGGATTGCAAAGGGGGAGTTCCGTCCTGGCTGATTTGATCAAAAGTCAACTCGAACTGGGCTTGCTTTTCAACAAAAGTCGGGGCGAAAACAGCGGAAGCGAGTCCGAAGTGCTTCTAACGGTAAAGCAATTTCCCCACAAATCGTGCGTAATCTCGCAGGAATTATGACTGAACAGGCGCATTCTCACCTCACAGGCTCAAGCTTCAGCAAGCTCAGCAGCACACCTGACCTTGACATGTGGAAGTTGGGTAATTACAGTACTTGACCGCATTTCCTACGTAACAATGCATTGAGGGAAAGCGCAAAGGCCCAGGCATCCATGTGGCTTTGTGTGCAAGGGAATGACCGAATGATTGAAGAGGAACCGCCTCATTTTGCCAGGGAGAGGTACCTTCAAGTTTTATCTCAACATCCTTCCATTGTTACTACCTCCCGCTACCTGGATAGGCATTCCTCTTGGCTAGTATGCCTTGCTGTGCACCTTGGCCCTTGAGCGTATTCAAGTCCAGAGCTCCCGGACCTCTTTGTTCATCCCATCCCATATAGTGGGCGGAGGGTACCTACCGGTGCTCCAACTTGCCCTGTGGTGTGGTTTGTGCTTCCTGTAGTCAAACACGGCACCACGTCATTCCCAGGGATACGACGTGGTACAGCCCGGGCCATCTGGTTCACTGCTTTCGTCAACTCTCTTCTCTTACTCTTCTCTTTCCTCACTTCTCTTTTGCCTTTCTCTCAACCCACACTCAGCTGAGGTATCGATTTATCGAGCATCGACTAGAAAGAAGACGTCTACTCAACAGCGCTCATGGCGGACCATGAGCCGCAGGGCAACCAGGTATGTTCCTGTATTTACCCTAAAAACGCGTCCCCTTTGCAGACCTTCTGACGCAATACCACATCAACATTGGGGGCTGACCATCTTTGCTTTGCCACAGCCCAAACGCGAAGGCTTTCAGCTAAACGTCAATGACGCCCTAACTCCGGATCCCGGCAAGGAAGGACTGTTCAAGGTTGAGAATAATCCCTTCGCCTTTACGCCAGGCCATCTTGCAAAGTTACTTAACCCCAAAAGCCTCGATGCTTTCTACGCCCTTGGCGGCCTGGAGGGCCTGGAGAAAGGGCTGCACACAAATCGCAACACCGGTCTCAGCGCCGACGAGAAGCACGTCGATGGTCCCATCGCCTTCAAGGATGTCGCCCCCCCAGGAACGCCGCAGTACGGCCAGCATGGCGACAACGAGCCCTTTGCGTCAGGCAAGCATGATGCGTCTGTCCCGGAGCCGCTTCCTCTCGATCACAAGGCCGGAAGTAACTACGCCGACCGCCGGCGCGTCTACAGAGAAAACCGATTACCCGAGAAGAAGAGCAAGACACTCCTAGAACTAGCCTGGACCACGTACAACGACAAGGTGCTGATCCTGCTTACTATTGCTGCTGTCGTCTCCCTGGCGCTTGGTCTATATCAGACTTTTGGCGGTAAACACGAACCAGGCGAAGCCAAAGTGGAATGGGTCGAGGGCGTGGCTATCATGGTGGCTATTATCATTGTGGTGCTAGTGGGTACGCTCAACGACTGGCAGATGGAAAGGCAGTTCAACCAGCTCAACAAGAAACACAACGACCGTACCGTCAAGGTTATCCGCTCCGGAAAGTCTGTCGAGATTTCAGTTTTCGACGTCATGGTCGGCGACGTGATGCATCTGTTCGCAGGGGACCTTATTCCTGTTGACGGCATCTTTATCAGTGGTCATGGTGTCAAATGCGACGAATCCTCCGCCACGGGTGAATCCGACCTGCTCAAGAAGACGCCCGCCGACGAAGTGTTTGCTGCGCTGAAAGACATCGCAGATGGGAAGCCTCCCAGAGAGGACATCCACAAGCTCGACCCGTTCATCATTTCTGGCAGCAAAGTAAACGAGGGAACCGGCACGTTCCTCGTGACAGCCGTAGGCGTTTACTCGAGCTACGGTCAAATCTCCATGGCCATGCAAACCGAGCAGGAAGATACCCCGCTGCAGCAAAAGCTAAATGTGCTTGCCGACTGGATCGCCAAATTTGGTGGTGGCGCAGCGCTGATTCTCTTCATCGTGCTGTTTATCAAGTTCTGTGTCCAGTTACCGCACAACCACGATTCGCCAGACCAAAAAGGACAGACCTTTCTGCGCCTCTTCATCACCTCTGTCACGGTCGTTGTTGTTGCTGTCCCAGAAGGCCTTCCCTTGGCTGTTACGCTAGCCCTCGCGTTTGCAACCACTCGGATGATGAAGGACAACAATCTTGTCCGCGTACTCAAGGCTTGTGAGACCATGGGTAACGCGACAACGGTATGTTCCGACAAGACGGGAACCCTGACTCAAAACAAGATGACCGTGGTTGCTACCACTCTTGGCAAGAGTCTCAGCTTTGGCGGCACGGATAAACCGCTGGAGGAACCCGACTCGGACAAAGAGAAGATCAATAATGGCGCAAACGGATCGGAGGCGCCAAATACTGTGCCCAATGTGCCTGTGGCAGAATTCATCCGGGAACTCAGCAAGACCACCAAGAAGATTCTCAACCAAGCTAATGCTGTCAACTCGACCGCGTTTGAGGGTGATGAGGACGGCGAGAAGACATTCATTGGGTCCAAGACGGAAGTCGCTTTGCTCACCTTCTGCCGTGACCATCTCGGCGCTGCACCGGTGGAGGAGGAGCGCAAGAATGCTGATGTTGTCCAGGTCGTTCCTTTCGATTCAAAGTACAAGTTGATGGCTACCGTCGTTAGACTTCACAACGGAAAGTTTCGCGCATACGTCAAGGGTGCTTCCGAGATTCTCCTCGAGAGATGTAACACGGTTATCGCCAACCCGAGCGAGGATGAGTTGCGTACTGTCGAGCTTACCGATGCGGATCGCAAGATGTTCTTGCACACGATCTCCTCATATGCTGGCCAAACCCTTCGTACGATTGGTTCCTCTTACCGCGATTTCGATAACTGGCCGCCTCCGGAGCTTAGTGGCCACGGAGAATTGACGGCCGACGAATTTGCAAAGGTCCACCATGACATGACGCTCGTAGCCATTTTTGGCATCAAGGATCCCCTTCGCCCGCAGGTCATTGACGCCATCCAGGATTGCAGACGCGCCGGCGTGTACGTCCGTATGGTCACTGGCGACAATCTCTTGACCGGCAAGGCAATTGCGAAGGAATGCGGAATCTACAAACCCCAAGAGGGCGGAATGGCCATGGAGGGTCCTGCTTTCCGAAGGTTGTCCGAGGATAAGCTCAAGGAAGTCGTACCGCACTTGCAGGTTCTCGCTCGCTCGAGCCCCGAAGACAAGAGAATCCTCGTTCATACTCTCAAGGAACTGGGTGAGACGGTGGCGGTTACAGGCGATGGAACGAATGACGCGCCAGCTCTCAAGATGGCGGATATCGGCTTTGCCATGGGTATTGCAGGCACGGAAGTTGCAAAGGAGGCGGCATCTATCATTTTGATGGATGATAACTTTGCGTCTATTGTCAAGGGAATTAGCTGGGGTCGTGCGGTGAATGATGCTGTGAAGAAGTTCTTGCAGGTAAGCGATGTGCTCTGTGTCCGGAGTGAGGTAATGGCTAACGAGGGGCAAACAGTTCCAACTTACGGTCAATATCACGGCCGTAGCCTTGACCTTCATTTCCGCCGTTTCCAACGACGAAGAACAGTCCGTTTTGAACGCAGTTCAGCTTCTCTGGGTGAATCTAATCATGGACACCTTCGCGGCACTTGCTTTGGCAACAGATCCTCCGTCACACACCGTTCTCGACCGCAAGCCAGATCGCAAATCTGCGCCATTAATCACGATCAGAATGTGGAAGACGATTATCGGACAGGCCATTGCCCAGCTGGCCATCACTCTCTGCCTCTACTTTGGCGGCCGCTCTCTGCTCGGCTACAACATGTCGGACCCCACGGAATCCAAACGTCACAGCACCTTCGTCTTTAACACCTTTGTCTGGCTCCAGATCTTCAACGAACTCAATAACCGGCGTCTCGACAACAAGCTCAATATTTTCGAAGGTATCACGCGCAACTATTTCTTCTGGGCCATCAACGCCATCATGATTGGCGGCCAAGTCCTCATCATCTTCGTCGGCGGGGAAGCCTTCAAGATTACTCGTCTGAACGGCAAGGAATGGGGCATGTCTATCGGACTTGGTGCCATCTCCATCCCCTGGGGTGCTTTGATCCGCAAGTTCCCCGACCGCTGGGCCGAGGCCATGATGCCGCACGTGCATATTCCCATCCCCAAGATCTTCAAGCGCAAGAAGAAGGAGGGAGAGGATCAGGAGAAGCAGCCAGTGGACAGGCCGCCCCTGCCGCCGGGCAGAGTGCATACCGGTTTGAGAGGACAGAGAGCGAGAGTGCATAGTTCAAGGTTGGGGAGGAGTTGGTCTTAGTTGGACGGGAAGGTAAGACCTATTCGGAGGCTCTCTACGAAAAAAGGAAAGGGTAAGGCTAGCTAATAGAATAAGAAGTTGGAGTAGGGAGTTGGTAGTTTATGCCTACACGATTACTAATGATTCGGGGTGTGTCTTTGTTAGTGTTAGAGAACATGAATACGTTTTTATCTTTAGTGCAACAGCGGTGTTTTTTAGTATTTTTTTTGCTGATTGTGAGTAACGAAATCATGAAGCCAAAAGGTACCGCCAACCAGAAACGAATGTGATTAAGACTAAAAGTACATATATATCCTATAAAGTAAACAAAACACACGTAATAGCACACGTGCAGGCAAAAAAACAGCAACCCAGTTGCCCATTTGCCATGAGGGGGTATAAGATTCTTTTCCAAAAACGATAATTCGACGCCTGTCCATGTTGTTGTCCCTCCCTTCCATGTTTCATTGTTGTTTTTGCCGCTCAGCAGCATTTGTTGGAGGCCCCATGTCGATGCCATAGAACTCCGTCCGTCCGTCCGTCCGTCCCGTCCCGCCTGTCGCCGTCGCCACCGCCGTCGTATGGACACCAAACCTGTTGGCTCCTCCCTGACTTTGTTTTCTCTCTCTCTCTCTCTCTCTCTCTCTCATTTGCCATTCTATTGCCCCCCCCCCC